CTGTGCGAAATGTCATGCAAATCTGTTCAGTCGTTTCCGCGTATTAATTTAATTAAAACTTTTTTAACAGGTGGCAACTCTTCCAAAAAATCATCCTATTTTCCACTGTCGGTCATAATCTATATGCTTGCAAAATTTCATGCAAATCCATTCAGTCGTTTCCGCGTGATGATTTTCCAAACATCCAAACATACAAACTTTCACATTTATAATAATAATAATAATTAATAATTAATAATTAATTAATAAGATTTACCTTTTAAAAGTAAGTTATANTAATAATAATTAATAATTAATTAATAAGATTTACCTTTTAAAAGTAAGTTATATATTATGCTACAAAATTTTAAATATTGGGTGGTATGGACAAACACTAAGCAATTGCTTTTTCTTAAAATTGCATACCTTTTAGTTAAATTTTATCTTAATAAATCGAGTAAAAGGTGGGAAATTTTAAGAGAACGCAATTGCTTATTTTTATTCATACGACCCAGTTTACATGGTACTTCGGAATAGCGAAATATTATAATTGCATAAACCATACAAAGGAGTGTGAATTAATAACTTGGCATTTTTTAATACAATAAATTTAATTATAGGCGGGTGCTTGAAGGAATTTCTGAGGTTTTTGTTTTTTGTAGACATCTATCAGACGAAAGTACGCAAAAGTCATTCCGATCGGTTCCCTTTTTTGCTGCTCGTTCGAAACCCATTCTACTTCTTCAATGGTATATTTGAACTACGCCAAGAGAGCTTAGGTATTTGAGTCGGTTGTCGCGGACTGATCGCTTTATTTTCGAGCGAATTGTTGGAGTGTGCTGATTTTTCGGAGCCTGTGGGTTTTCGCGGGGTGGTAATTTTATTTATGGGAGAACTTCTATTCATGATGAAATGTCAAAGCATACTGAGCATCTTTCTCTTTGACACCATGTCTGAAATCCCACGTGATCTGTCAAATACTAATGCATGAAAATCCTAACCTCAAAAAAATCACCCGTTATGTAAAAATTTCTGAACTACATATAAAAACTTGTCCAATTTCGTTCACTTCAATTGACAAAACCGTTTATGAATTTCCTTGCGCGGGTATCAAGGCGAATTTATATAAGGTGGTGTTACTAACTGAGCTGATTTTGTGTATGTGTTTCGCCTCACGGCTTCTGATATCAAATTGAAAAATTTTGTTTGAATTTCTACACACACTCTTACAGATTTTAACAGTTTATGCCGCCAAAGCAAAAACAGAATACATGTAAATTTTTGTTTTTGTACTCCTGCTATCACCTTATATTAATTCGCCTTGGCGGGTACACTTACAAATACTTTTTCAGGAAACACACATGTTAAACGAAGGGTAGTTTTTCAAAGAGGCAATTGAAATTTCCTGAGGCAGCACAAGGTGGCGGACTAGAGCGAGAAGTAGCCAACGTAAATCACCTTTGTTTTATTAATGCATCATAAAAAAAAATACACAATATATACATATGTACAATTATAGGAATTTGGAAAATTTCATTTTTAAATCAGTTACCCAAAGGAAATTTTCCGATGAAAACATTTTAAATACTTCAACAAAATTCATTTGAATTTAACACAGCGTTCATTAATTTTTCTCCGGAACACTTAGTACATACAAACATAACATACGTACATTCATATACATGTGTATATGAGTTTATTAAAAACAATGCCCAAAGCAACAAGTACGATTCATCGCGCAAAAATTGTAAGTATAAATTGACCGTGGTTGTTTGTCAATACTTTTGTATGTGCCTCATACTTTTCCTTCTGTCTGCTCATGTGTAGCTGTCGCCAAACTCATTGTTGGATAATTTCTGCCGGGCGCTACATCCGGATTTGGATCTCAGCTCAACATGTTATACCTGGTTCCAGCAGGCAACTCAACACTGCACCGAATTGGTTTTGCGACAGCAGCGTGCGCCATATTTCTGGATGGCACTTCAAAGTTTCATATTTCCTAATCGCGAAACATCATTACTTAGCCAAAAGATACCAATCAGCATACACCCGAATCGATTGTCGGCCAGCGATTGCGAGGCGTTCTTCTTTGACATAGTTAACGACTACGTGGCACATGCTCCAGCTTATGCGCCGGCGTCGATTACCAACAGCCTTCTTTGGCAGTCAATCTACTCTTTGCTGGGAGTATTGTCGTTAGGTCTTCTCATGATCTTTATAATAATTTCCTACCGGAAATTTGTCGAATCACTGGATTCGCCTAAAGACGTAGTTCGTGAAGAAGACCAAGCCCTTTTATGTGAAAAATACAATGCCACATTCATTAATCGTAAGCCCTGTCAGTCCAAAATTTTCCAACGTGTGATGGAACCGAAGAAGAAGTTCTCGTCCGACGGTATTCCGACGATTGCCTTGAAAGTTTCATCAAAGCTGAATTTTATAGATAGCATTGTAGCTAGTACAGATATTTCCAGTGTATGTTTGCATCGCCTTCAAGAGTTGAACCCGCAGTTGAAGTCTGAATATAAAAGTGAAATGGTATCGAATATGTTGCGCTTTATGAGCAACGACACACGTAAACTAGAGCTGATGATGCTGTTCGACGATGAGCCAATCCATGAGGAAATCCAGCGGAAATATCCATCGAAAATGTTTGCCGGAGGGTTAGCAACCCGATCCAAG